ATTTATATTTGTATGAGCAAATAAAATTTATATATATATGTATGTATATATGTACGTCTGTGTGTGTATGTACATAGACATATAAGTATATATATGTATATATAGATATATAAGTATATATTTATATAAATATGTGTACGTGTGTGTATATATTAATATTTTTATAAAGAATTTTCAAAATTTTGGTTTTTGGTTTAAAATGGTTTGGTTTAGTTTAAACCATACCAAACCATAATTTTGGATTATTTTTCTAAACCAAACCAAACCAAACTAAATTTAAAAAAAAACAAAACCAAATTTTAAAATTTGGTTTGGTTTGGTTTAATTTGGTTAATTGGTTTAGTTTTACACACTCCTAAATTCTATGTTGAGTCATATATATGAGTGGTGTATATATATTATATATATATATATGTATGTATGTATAAATAAGCGATTTATACCTATATAAATCCAAGGGCAAAGACGGACTGCGATTGAGTATCAAATTTGAATTAAAAACAGAAAATTACAATCACAAGGATTAGATAATACTTTTTCACTACATCTTTTGGATTTTATGAGTATAAATAGGGGTGTGCAAACCATAATTTTGATTTGAATTTTTGATATTTTGGTTGGTTTTTTTGTTTTAATACTTTTAAAACCAAACCAAACCAATTTAATTATAAACCAAACCAAACCAAACCTAAAATTTTAGTTCGGTTTAATTTGGTTTTGTTTGGTTTTAAGTTTAGTTTTTTATTAATTTAAAAAAATTACTAATTATTTATTTAATTTTTATTATTAAATATACATGTATATGTATGTGTATGCATGAGTGTGTACATGTATATATATTTGTACATACATACATATATATACACACACACACACACATACCATATATATGTATATATTCATGTATATATATATATTCATATAAATATATATATATATATATATGCATGTACACACACAAATACATATGGGTATATAGCCTTGTTCACGATTCCGATCCGAATCGTGAACCGACCCGGATCGGACCAAGAAAAAACTAGACTGAACCGGACCGGCAATAGCCGGTCCAATCCAATTTTGAACCGTGAAGGTTCACAATCCAGTTATGATTGAAGTTTTTTTGAACCTAAACCAGAACTGAACCTGAATCGTGAAAGAACAGGTGAACTAAAACCTAGAATGAACTGAAAATGAACCGTGAACTATGAACCAGAACCGTGAGTAAACTGTGAAGGTGAATCATGAACTGGAACCGTATACGAACCATAAACCGGAACCGATAATGAATCGTGAACCGTGAATGAACCGCGAACGAACTAGACCGTGAACGAACCAGAACTGTAAACCAGGCCGACCCAAAACCGTGAATCGGACCAAAACCATATTAACTGGAACCGGAACCGAACTAGCCATCAATTTCCCAGTCCCGGTTCATAATTTTTTGGAACCGAAACTGGCGGTCTGATCCCGGTCCAGCCCGGTTCACAGCCCGTGAACAGGGCTATGGGTATATACATACATGCATAAATAAGTAAATACATACATTTATATATTTATGTATGTATATATACATGTGTGTGTACATACAAATATACATACACACATGCACATAACATATATATATGTATATATGTATGTATAAATACATGTGTGCATGTACATGCACACATATATACACAGACATACATGCATACACACACACACACATAATATATATATGTATGTACAAATACATATGTGTGTATGTACACGTGTGCGCGCACACACACACACATATATAGTATATACATACATGTATAAAATATATAAATATACACATTTACGTATTTATGTGTATATATATACATGTGTGTGTGTACACAAGCACATATATATTCTTGTGTGGGTGCACGTTTATATAAATGTATTTATATATCTATATACAATATAAATATATGAATATGAGTGTATAAAATTTAGATATATGCATGTACGTATGTATGGTACATACACAATAAGTATATATATGTATATATATACATGTATATATGTATATAAATACTTATATATATCTATCTATATATTTATATACAATATAAATATATGTACATATATATATATTTATATTTGTTTGAGTAGATAAAATTTATATATATATATATATAATGTATGTACGTATGTATGCATGTTTGTGTGTGTACATACACATGTAAATATATATATGTACGTTTGTGTGTGTATGTACATACACATATAAGTATATATATGTATATATAGATAAAAAATATATATTTATATAAATATGTGTACGTGTGTGTATATATTAATATTTTTTATAAAGAATTTCAAAATTTTGGTTTTTGGTTTAAAATGGTTTGGTTTGGTTTTAAACCAAATCAAATTATAATTTTGAATTATTTTTCTAAACCAAAATAAAGCAAACTAAATTTAAAAAAAAAAACCAAATCAAAATTTAAATTTTGGTTTGGTTTGGTTTAGTTTGGTTAATTGGTTTGATTTTGCACACTTCTAATCCTTAGTTGGCGAAAAATCAATTATATCAAGTATCCAATACCACATAATATTATTAGGAATATTTGGCTATCCCTATTTCAATTATTGCTTTAGAATCTGCATTTCAAATGGTGATTACCCATCGTTGTAAACTTCTGGAGGACATTTTGGAGGCAATCATGTATTCTCAAAGTTGGATATGTAGAGACAAAAAAAAAGTTAACAACAATTAATTAGTTCTTATATTAAACACTTTTGTAAATAATATATGAGTTATCTAATATATACAGATGTCATGTTTTGGTTTCTTGTGATATGATTATTTAAGGCCTTGGTTTTGATAGAGAATGATAAACAACATATATAAAGCTTGAGATGAATTTGATTCTAGTGTTGATAATGAGATAACTAGTTTATTTAAACAGACGTTATTATGAAAACACAAATTGTTATACAACAAATAATTATGTTTTTCATATTTTTCATAGGTTGTGGTGATTAAATTATTATTGTCTTGTAAGTCTCAAAGTGAAGATTTAGATATTAATTTTGTTTTAGAGTAGATGTATTGTTGGCTGCATTGCTGCGGTGTTGTTAACTTTGTACTATGTGAACAATATTTTTATACTTATTCACGGTAATATTGGTTTTCCTTCGTATTTTAATTTTTAATGTTTATGACATTTGTAAAACTAATAGATTGCGCTGAATTTTACTGTTTCTAATTGTTTAAGTAAGATTTTCTACTTATTTTTCATGTTTATAAATTCTGAATTATAAAAATTATTTATAAAGAATTATAAGTTCGAATTTATACGTTCAAATTTGCATAAATGAATATTTAATGAATTTGAAAATGGAATCGCCGTGAATCTTAGCCCGAGCTTGAGTGCCTCTTTTTGATGGTACAGATCTGAGCTTGGCTACTTTAAGATCTGCCCCAGACCAGCCCATTGGCATTTTTATGGAAGACATATTTGAAAACACAAACATTTGCCGAAGCAATTGTACCATTACTATTCTAGCAGTGATGACACAAGTGGCCTGAAACTTTGGCTCAGTCTTCAAATTGGCTTCTTAATAGATAATAAGTTTAATTTAACCCAAATGTTTGAGGTTTTGTTTACTCTAATCTCCTTCAACCTACTTATCGGAATTCACTTAGGTGACTTCCCTTTCAGAGTTCTTTCATCAATGACCTTCATGCTGCTTTGTGTTTGGGCTTTTAAGCAGGCATCCCCCAATGGATTGTTTAGTACTAATTTCTTTAAGGATTTTGAATGTTTCCAAACATAAGTTTTTTAAGAAATATTTAATATTTAGAATTATTAAAGTTTTATTTTTTTAACTTTTAAAATAAGGTTTGACACCTAGGGTTTGGGATTTTTAAAATCCTAAAATAAGTATTTTTTTTAAATGCATTTAAAAATTTTGAACTTGCAACATACTTCAATACCAATCATAGCTTTTTTTAGAAGTCATTACCTTTTCCCTGCAGCAAAATTTAAAACCCCCAAATGATTAATTTTGATGTTCGTACAAGTCATTGCAAAATAGTATTCAGAATTTATATGGTTCAGTCCACCATACAAGCCAAACGCATGTCATCAATAAGAAACCTTAAAAGGTTAAAAAAAAGGGGGAAAAAAACCCGGCCAGTTACGCTAAATAGGTTTGATGAAGGGGGGACATTGAACAGAAGAATAACTATCCAGGGACAGAATTAGAAATTTGTAAGTTAAGGGGCCAATTTGCAAGTGGCGCCAATGTTCAGAGGGTATTCGTGTAATTACCTCTACTTCTCCACGAAAAAGATATGTATTATTTAATTATAGAACGGGACCATGGCGGACAGCAATTATTCGGCAAAAGTCTAGGTCTACCAAAAAAGAGACAAATTCCAAAAGCAGATTCCATAAAAATCAAAAAAGCGAAAACAAAAACAAAAGCACACTCCATAAATGTCCAAATCCAACGTGTGAAAATTTTATCAAATGCAGCTCCATTTTAATTTAAGGAAAAATTGATTTGTTAAAATAACTTTTTTTTCCAAGATTTGTCTAATTGAATTTTATGAATATTTAAATATGAAGTAAAAAAATTACGTTCTTTAATCCTTTTAATTTTATATTAATGGATATAACTTATTTAAATATGCAATTATGGACATTATGGTTTTATATCACTTTTAATTATTATAAAATGAAAATCGAAAGCAGAAAAAATAGAAAGATTTAAATAAATCCATACATGCATAAATATGGAAAGGTCGATGATACAAAGAAGAAGAAGAGACCAAACTCTTTTCACACGAGGCAACTCAAGGATCAATTAAATTGTTCCTTGAATTTCCTGTTACTGCTTTATTTTATTTTATTTTATGAAAAACTCATATGATTTTCGCATATTGATTTTTTTATTTTTAAGAAAAAGACCTTAATCTGTTATTTTCTTTCTTTAGCCGCCCATGCGTGGTCATTGGTTGATGAAGGAAGCCAAACGATCCATCATCTTCTTGGCATTATCAGTATGGGCCTTAGAACTTGATGTGCATGCCCCTCTCCTTCTATCTCGAACAGCTCGATCTCGCCTTCCCATCCACTATCCTTCACCGCCTCGTAGTACCACACTCCCCTGTCCCTAATCTCGTCCTCCCCGGCAACACCCACAAATAGCCGCCGGCAGCCCAACGTCACTAGGCTTGGCGCACCGGCTGCCATCGGACTTATCATCGGGTTGTTGATGCCACCCGGCGCATCTGGGTACACAAAGTTCCAGCATCTGCATTGTAATAAATATGTATTATGTATAACTGTCACCTGACTAATCTCAAGTTATGGCGGTGGTAGCTGCTGATGTGGTGAATAATGTAAATTATATTCTGTCTTTTATATAAAATTGTAAAATTGCAACTCACTATTTCCTTTGCGAATAGTAATACGAGGAGTGCCCATAGTCGGATTTCATCTGGTTTAGAAGTAAATTAGAAGAAACCAATTTAACACCACCCACCCCCCCCCCCCACCAAAAAAAAAAAAAAGAACCCAAATGTTTGAATTTTCAATTAGAAATTTTCTTAATAAAATATGACTATTTATCAACCATTATGTATATAACATATTAAGAGGTCATATTAAAAATATATATATTTTTGTAGAAAATATTATATTATAATTGTTATACAAAAAAGTTTATGCTAATGCATTATCAACCACATAAAATATTAGTCGATAATTTGTGGATGACATGGCGTATGACACGTGTATTTAATATTTTCTCACCGGTAATGTAGTGTCTGTTCGAAACCATGTTTGGGTTCCGACCCGATTGGCTCCGACCCGAAGAAGTACGGGTGGGTGAGGAAAGCTCCGACGAGGGTCAGTTCGCCAGGGAGTCCCTCCCTGCCGACGCGCATCACGATGTTGTGGACAATGTTGCCGCCGGAGCTGTCTCCACCAACGAAAACCCGACCAAAGTCGCCATGCTCGGCCAGCCAAGGGTCTCTCTGGGTTGGTTCCGTGACCCACCGGAGAGCTTCCCAGCAGTCGTCATACGCTGCCGGGAGGAGGTGCTCCGGTGCTTTCCGGTACTCAACGGAGACGGTGAGAGCGCCACAAGCGGCTGCCAGGCGGTTGAGGACGGGGTGGTGGACAGCGGAGAAGGCGGACTCAATTAAGAAGCCACCACCGTGATAGTAGACCAAGACAGGGAGCTTCCGGGTGCCGGCGGCTTGTGGGAGGTAGAGCCTGGCGGAGACATTTGAGGAGATGACTACGTCTTTGGAGGAGACGCCGGTGTCCTTGTCCGGGACAGACGACGGGGGGATGTATGGCGGGTCTACTAATCTCTGGATGGTGCCGTCTTTGTAGACTCGAATGAGTGTGGGAAGCTCAATGGCAACCTCTCCGCCGCGGGAAGCCATGAAAAACTGTACTCTAGATATCTAGATCTAGATGATCATGTGAAACACTGATATGTGCATATATATAGAGAAAGAGTTAGCTACCTCAAATGTGAAAAGTCTGTTAAGTCAACGGGAAAATTTGATGCTTATGTCAGTTTTTATCAAACGGTGACATCAGTCAGAGATAATTGAGATCAAAGCCAAGAGAGAGAATAAATAAACAGATTGTTGGTGGTTGTCAATTAGACTGAAGGAAAAAGAAAAAATTAATAGCAAGGAGAATGACGTATAAAATTCTTGTTATCATAACTTTTTAAATGGGTTAAAAGCGAAAATTTTCTTCCTATTTTTTTAAAATTGCACAAAACACTCTTAATAATATGAAAATTATATCAAATTCTCTTATAATTTAAATTTTTTAAAAAATTTATCATATTTTTTCCACAACTAATAGTCTTAAATAGTAAAAACTAGATTAAAAATTTAATTAAAGAATTAAAAGATAGAAATTAATATTAATATATAATAATAAAAAAGATTTTGGGAATCAAAATAAAATAAGTGTATTAAATTTTGTTCGATTTTCTTTTATTTTTCATTTTTAAAAAGGATTATAAAACTGTTAATTTTGTTTTGGTATTTTGATGAAAATAACAATTATTATGAAAATATATTATTTAATAGTTTTTTAAAAAATAAAATACATTTAACAAAAAAAGAAAGAAAGAAATATAAAGATAATAATTGGAATTGGAAACATTCAACTCCAGATATTACAAAATTGAATTTATCATAGAAAGAATGAATCATGTGACAAAGGATAACATGCTTAATTAAAAAATTATTTTTGACTTTTGACTAACTCATATAAAAATAAAATATACAATTACTTTCATATAAAACAAGTAGCAGAATATTGAAATATAATATATTTTATAAGAGGAGGTTTCATCAAGCTAATTAAATTATAGTTATTGTAATTTTTTCCTAAAAATAAACTTCAACAAAATATATTTTAATAGATAGAAGATTTTAATGTAAGTAATAATGCAACACAATAAATTTTAATTCAATTTTTATATTAAGAAAGCAATTTTATACAAGTTAATTAAAATAGAAGAAGTATGCTAACTTTTGCCCCTTTTTAGACGCCAATCTTCTAGAAGAAAACCTGGTCAGTCAACGTGGGTCATCCATGAGACACACATGTTATATCAAAATAATGTAAATTCTTTTTATTATCTTCTCCAAATTATGAAGTTTCCACCTACCTACCTCTATCTTTCAGTAGAAGTCAAGTCATTTTATTTTCTAAGTGTTTATAGATTTACATTACACATCTAAATTTATTTCTCTTATTTCTATCCCAAATACAACTATTTCATACTTTATGCTTCCTATTTCACCACACATCCTTCTCAAATCCTCATTTCGGCTTATGGGATAATACATAAAAAATAAATAAATTTTATATAATTTTTTTAATTGAGTTAAATTTTTTTTTCTATTTTCAAAAATAAAATACAAAAAATCATGTGATATTGAATAATCTATGTTTATTGTAATTTAATAATCTAAAAAATAAATTTAACTACAGTACTTTTGTTTGAAAAGTGCTATCCCAAGTGTCTATGTAGCAAGATAAGGTCTGGTCCAATCCCAAAATTTTGTTATTGACTGCATGGCCCGGCCCAATCCTAGGTTTATTCTGGGACCATTTTGGCTGCAAATTTTCTTGGATAAATCTGTGTTTTTCCTTTCTTGTCAAATAAAAAAGTGTTAAGTTTTGCATAATTTAGTGTCTGAAATTTAATTTAATCAAATTTAGTCCCTAGACTATTGTTCTGAATAAAATGAAGGCCAATTTCTAACAGTGTTAGTAATAGGTGATGATGTGACAACTACGTTTTTATTTTCTCTTAACCTCTCATGAATTTAAACATATTTACAAATTGTCCTTGAATTGCAATTTGTATTTGCAAAATATATATAATCTAACAAATTCAATCCATAAAAGAGTGGCATTTTTAAGTCTGTTTTGTAATAAACTAGACTTTATGAGTGATATTCCTAAATCAAAAAAAAAAATGAAAATTTAAAAATTTAGGAGTTAACATTTTTTTTTTTTAAATTTTGTGAAATAATCCATCAATAAGCTAGACGCAAACATTCCTTACAATGAAAACAAAGGCTCCAAATTGTTCAACACTAAACATACCCAAAATGCAAACAGTAGAAGCCGAAAGATAACCGACATAAAAAGCAAGCCAGAAGCTATATCAGCTTCTTGGCTTTCTCGGTCTCTCGATCAAACTGATGGAAGGGAAGGCATGGTCTTGTTCCTCCTCCACGTACAGTCCTTGTCTGCAGTTCAAGAACAGCCCAACACATAACAGCTGCCGCTCTGATTCAGTCCTGAATCACAAGACAGAACAGAAGGGAGCCATTGCAGCGCAGCTTCAGACAGAACCAAACCTGCACCATCAAACCCAAATTCAGATCACTTCAGAATTTACAGAAGCAACCCAATCAACGAAGAAAATCACACCAGAGAAGGTCCAAAAAGCTCCAGCTAATTTCTGCAGATCCAATCCATTTAGCCAGCTCCAGCCAATCCTATTAAGGTAAATCAGAGCCCAAAGCATTTACAGCAGTAGTGGCAGCCCAAAACTCTGGCAGCCTAGCCACAACAGACCTGTTGAAGCCGAATCTAGAACTGCAGAGCAACCCCAAAATTAAATTGAACCATTTGATCCAATCCAAAACGGAGCATAGTCCACAGCCTGGCCCAAAGAACAACCCAAAAGCCGCAGGCCATCTAGCTTTGGTGGCGTCTGCAATGTTTTTATAAAATTATTAATTAAAAGTGAAAAAAAATAATTTTAATTTGAAAGTAGACAAAAAAATTCTTGAAAATTGTGGAATGTCTTTGAAGAATTTTTTTTTGGGGTAAAATGACAATAAAAAGGTTTTTATTTGAAAAAAAAAGTAGAACATCCGTAAATTTTAATTTCTATTTCTATTTTCCAGAAACCAACCATTCTGGCGATCCACAGGCAAGCCGCCTATTGGAAGCCCAACTCAACCTCCCCTGCTCGATTGTTTCTTGCCACGTAAGAGTGTTCACCGTTCAGTTTTTTACGATTTTTTTACAAAATTTATACCGTATTAATATATTTAGTTTTTTTACATTAAAATCAAAACCACACTTTTTGATACCGATACCAATGCCTTCGGTTTTCTTTAGTTTCGGTACAGTACGGTATGATTTGTTTCGGTTTTTTTAATATTAAGTTATTTTTTTTATCTCCAACTATTCAAGCCAAATAATATAAAATAATGAATAAGACTTTTTTTCATTTTCACAAAGACCTTCAAGTAACATATAAATTGGCACTTTGTTTCTTATATAGCTATTTCTAATATAAGCATTAAGAAAATTTAAAGGGAAAAAAAAAAGAAATTAAGGAAATTTAAATATTACATAACTGGATCCGTGCATAGAATTCTATTTCATCTAAAAGGAAGCAAACCCAACAAAAACTTATTAGCTGCCTTTTTGGACATTTTATTTATAATCGACCTCCATCATTACAATGTAATCAAGTAACACAACCTATTTTTGCAAAACCCATTTCTTCCAAATTCGCTTTCCCTAAATCCATATTTTGTCAAACAAGTCATTAGAGGCTAAAGGAAAAGTTGGGAAACCTTAAAACTACTAATATTCATAATCTTTAATAAAAAATTAGATGTATTTAATTCCTTCATATGATCATATTTTATGAATATTAAACTAGTTAGAAAATAAAAGGAAAGGTTTGAAAACCTTAAAACTACCCAGTACTCACAAATCTCTAATCCAAAATCAGATGTCTCTAACTCCTTCATAAGATCATGTTTTTACATATATAAAAAATAAAATACTTTGTTCAGTGTACCAAGTAAGAGAATATTAAAACTCCCAAAACATACTAAAAATCATATCATCAAATTGAATTATGACCTTGCTATCTGAAAACCACACTATTGGAGTTGAAACTCATTTCATAACATGAATCACAGCAAAACAAAATCTGGAGTTAAGGTTAGATATATTTCTTTTTTTTATATTTTAATCCTTATATTTATACATCTTTTTTACATAAGTCTTTGTCTTTTTAATTTTTTAAATTCACCATTAAATTGATCTTAATTTTTAGAAATTTAAATATTTTGTATAAAATATAAATAATTTAATAAATTATTATATATATTATTGGGTTCAGTACAATTTTTTATCAGTTTTTAATTTTTAAAACCTAAACCACACCAAAATATTCGGTATAGTATTATCTAATATAAAAATTTATAATATTTATAAAAAAAATTTAACTTCCGTTACAGTACCATAATCTAGTCCAATTCAATTTTATAATCTAGTCCAATTCAATTTTTTAAAATTATGAAGCCCCCCGTTGCCACCGTTTCCTTTTCCACTCGCCTAAGCCATTCGTGCCGACCAGCGCCAACCCAACCAATCCCCTAGCCCTAAAATAGCCTAACCCATTCTCCCCCTTTTTTTCGCCTCTGAAGCCCGACCTAGAGAGAGGGAAAATAGAGAGAAAATCTAGAGAGAGAAACCCACTGAAGGATCTTAGGTTGGAAATCAACGGGGAAGATGTGGATTTTTCTCTCTGCTTCGGCTTTATCTTCCAAACTCCACTCCATTACCGTCCACGATCCTTGCAAAAAAAACAAATTCTGAACTCTCAAGGAGGAGAGACAAAGGTCGGAGGGAGGGAACGTGGGATGGTCAGACCCGTCACTGGCAGGAGCTTAAAAATGCAGTTGGCATCGCGCTGGAGTCCGTAAAGAGGGGAGAGAGAGGGACCAAAGGGATAATGGAGAGACCGGACCAGGCAGGGTTAATCCGAGAATTATCGAAAAATTACGAGGGCAAAAATGTCAGTTTACTAACCAAAAGACTTTCTAATTATTCACAGAAATGTCATTCCGAGTAAAAAACATCTTTCTTA